ATTCCAATGATTTAATTACTTGCCATCTGAATTGAATGATGATTTCATTTTCATGTAAATTTTAAATACATAGGTTTTGTATTATTAAAATTATTGGATATTAACTTAATTAGTATAATTTATTTAATTAATATAATTTATTAGTGAGAATATCAACATGCCTTAAATAAAGTTTACGACCATAGAGAACGAGAATTAGCACCTGAAATATAGAACTTGAAAAAAATCCCTTACAAACCCAATTGCATTGGAATGAAACTACTTTTTAATAGCTCTTTTATTTCAATTAATAGAGGAAATTTAAAAAGGGATGTCATGTTTCAGTGAAACTTCTCAAAAAAATGTTACAATGATATATAATTTATTAGATTTCGATTTAATTCCTTTAATTATATTTCCTGTCATATATTTATAATTAACTTTTCTGTTTGTAAATTTTGTTCCCTTTGAATGGGAGGAAAATTTACTTTTACAATGGTGTATGTGAAGGTGAGGGTTTGTTTCATTTTGATTGGGTGAATTAATGGGAGGATTATGTGCATCTATCCACATAAATGACTTTTGTGGTTCAACAATTACTATTAAAATATTAAATGTCTTAATTATGGTGTTTTGCGAAAGTACACATTTGTCCCTAAGAAATTGAATGGTTAATGGATAATTTGTGTCCAATGAAAATTTCAGAAGTTATAATATTAAATGCCTTAATTATGGTGTTTTATCAAAATACATATTTGTCCCCAAAAACTTCATTGAATAAGGGATAGCTCATGTCCAATGAAAATTCCATAAAATTATAATATTAAATGTTTTAATTAGGTATTTTGTTAAAATACACATTTGTCCCCAAAAAGTTCAATGATTAAGGGATAATTTATGTCCAATGAAAATTCAAGAAAATAAAACCCTATTCACACTTTTATAAATAGTGTAATGTAATATAATAATGTAGATAATTGTCTATTCCCTCCCTCTCCCTTAAGAATGAAATGTCATTACAGCTGATTCCAATTCCAATATTGTTTCATATTAGGGGTGTTTACGGTTTGGTTGGACCTTTTTTTTTGTAGTCGAACTGGTACTACCAGTTTTCCAAAAACTGGTAACTGAAAACGAACCGAAACCAATCGGTTAATCGTCAGTTTGGTTTGTTGTTTTTCGATTTCTTAATTTTTACAATATATTATAAAAATATATAAATATATAAAAATATTATATTTTAAATAATAAATAATATATTATATATTATAAATATACATTTATATATAATGCATATTTATTACTTTATAATATATAAAAAATATATAATATAATATAATATACATAAATATATATAAAATATGTAGAAATATATGTATACCAGTCAGTTCGATTAACTGCCGGTTTCTATATTAATTAACTAAAATCGAACCGGTATCTTCGATTTTTTTAAAAACACCAAAACAACCGGTTCGATTAACTGATTTTTCAGTTCAGTTTCAGTCGGTGGTTTTTTTCTCACCCCTAATTCATATCTGAACCAGGCATACTATGGAATTAGACTACTCCGATTATGATTCTGATTCAACTGTGAACCAAATGGACCAAAAGCGAAAAAGAGAAAGAGGGAACGTTTCTTAACAAAATTTGTGAAAATTCATTGACAACTGTCCCTCAAGTTTCTGTTTCAAATTCACTCTTATTTAATATCAACCAAACACAGCCTAAATAAAAGCGTGCTTTTATTAAAAACGAAAATCTGCAACCAATGGGATATGTTGCCGGTGGCCCACATATCTGGGTCTGGATGAGCCGAAGACAACAATTTACAACGCGGGCTGGTCATCCAACCGCGTTGTAACACGTAACCACCCCACTTTTAATCCACTTTTAATGTTTGAAGTTAACGAAAGAGAGACTCCCCTCTCCGTTACCTTTAATATCTATTTTAAATTAATTAAAAATAAATAAATAAATAACCCCACTTCCTCCTCTTCCCCGTTATTTTTCTAAAGACAAAATCCTTTTTAAACTTAATGTGAAAAACAAAGAGTTGAAGCTGGTGCCGACGACCAACTATCGATTTCCGACAATCAACATCCGACATCGGATATAAAACAGCACTAACAACTGAATCCAATTCGGTTTGTCAATACCAAACCCTGCATGTCCTAAAAAATTGATAAGAAAATCGCAAATTGATCTTTACAATAAAAGATAAGATACCAAATTCCTTATAACTTTTACAGAATATCAGTTATAACTTTTACAGAAAATCAGTCCTAAACTTTTATTCAGTTCTTGCATCAAAAGGAACATTCATGTGGCTATACAATGGTAACAAATTCATCATATAAAATCAAATATTGCAAATTCTTATTACGGCTATGAAGTGTGAACAACGACAAAAAAAAAAAGAAAAAGAAAAAGAAAAAGAAAAAGAAAAAAGAGAAGAGAGAGAGAGAGAGTGAAAAGGGAATTAGGGGTCAAGAACCAGATATGACCCAGTTTCTAATTTTTTGAGCAAGGTTTTCAATAGGTTGGATCTCTCTAACACAACAGTTAGATTGTTCTCTCTGTAACGACTTGCTCTTGGAATCAGAATTAATTTTTAGGTCTCTCTGTAATGGCTTGATCACTCAACCAGATTTTATTTTCTAAGACAATAGTTAGATTTGTTGTTTCTAGGCAAGTTTTTGCAAAAACCCTGTATTAGAATCACTGTGAATAACTTAGCTTCAGAAAGATTTGTGACAAAAAACGAGAGGGCTTGGTGTGCATGTTGACAAACCCGTTGGATTCAGACATTTGTGCTGCTTTTCGTTCGATGTTGGATGTCGGTCATCGGTTGTCGGAAATCGATAGTCAACCGCTGGTGCCGGCTTCAACTCTTCGTTTTTAACCTCCCCTCAAAAAGATTTGCAGCCAAAAAAATGAGAGGGTTTGCGTTGATAAACCAGGTTGGATTCAGTTGTCAATGCTGCTTTACGTCCAACGTTGGATGTGCTTCAACTCTTCGTTTTTCACATTAGATTTAAAAAGGGTTTTGTGTCTTTATAAAAATAACAGGGAAGAAGAGGAAGTGGGGTTATTTATTTATTTTATTAATTTAAAATAAATACTAAATGAAACGGAGAGGGGGGGCTTCTCTTCCTTTAAGTTCAAACATGAAAAATGGGGTGCTTACGTGTTACAACGCGGTTGAATGACCAGCCCGCATTGTAAATTGTTGTTTTCAGCTCATCCGGACCCCACATATCTTACATAAAGACAGCTTTAAAGTTCAAAAAGCACTACCCTCCACTTCTAAATTCCTAACATACAGAAAGAAAGTCCACCGTCGATAGTACTCTGAATAGACGATCCAGATTGCCAACCCTCATCTGTTGAGTGATCGAATAGGAAAGACCACCAGATTCCCATTTCCCACTAGCGAAAATAAACTGCAAGCCTGCACGCAAACAAATACTTGACTATTGAATCTTGATCAAAAACCACCCCACCTTTTTTATAGGGTAAAATACAAAAACCTCTTCTGACAATCATAAAATATCTCTTATAGTTTTATTTTAACAAATTTTTCTCTTAATTTTTTCAGAAACTTGACAAAAGCCTCTTTTTTGCCACGTCTCAGATGGAAAATGTTAGATTGATGCACCAGTTTTTTTAAATATTCATTTTATTCTTTTATAAATTATTTTACATACAAAATTATTGAAATAATCCTATTTTAATTCAAAAAAAATACATATTTTAGTAATTTTGTATGTAAAAATATTAAGATGTTCGTTAAAAGAGTTTTTGTTGAGTTAAAATAGGGTTATTTTAATAATTTTATATGTAAAATAATTTATAAAAGAGTAAAATGGGTATTTAAAAAAAAATGATACATCAATCTAACGTTTTTAGTCTGGAACAATAACAGAATAAAAGTTTTTATTGAATTTCTCAAAATTTAGGGGAGATATTTATTAAAATGAAACTATAATGAAGGCTTTTATAATTGTCTTAAAGTAACTTTAAGGGAGAATTTTCTCTTTTACCCTTTTTATAAACCTTAGTTTTTTGGAGACCGGGAAAGTTAAAATTGGGACCACCTTTGGCTTTGATTGAACTTCGAAGTTTGAACTATCACACGCTTAATGCGGTCCGGATCCGTTAGAAACAAAACGTATACAACGACCTACACGGCCCAATTGCAAAAAACAAACACGTCAACAATCCATACTGTTACTATGTTACAGAAATCAGCAACACGTATACAACGGGTTATGAAACCCAATAACAAACGAACACGTCAGAAATTTGAACATCGAATAAGAATCTAGACCACTGACGTGTTCATTTCTTATTGGGTCACGTAATTGCTGACGTCTGGTTTGCAGTATATCCCGGCGGTAAAGAACAACAACAAACGGATGAAAGTTTGAAAGCGTGAATATTACGCACACAGTGAATGAGACGACTGACTGACTGGCCAACTTTCTGTCAAGTGAAAGCGCCGGGCCTCGTGAAATATTTAGAAACTTGGCATAAACTCTCCGGACGCGTAATAAATGAGCGTCATTTCTGAATCTCTTTACTCTATTATGCACAGCAAGAGTTATGAAGAGTCCCGTCGTCGAGCTAAGATTCGTAGGGGTGGAGTGAACAGTAAAAACCCGGGTCGGGACCACATTGTTATAAACATGTTTGTAAAATAAGTCTCAAATATATATATTTATTCCGAGAATAATCACTTATTTGATAATCACATCCAGATTTTGCATTTTGGAATTATCTTTAAATGTTTATTTGTTTTATAGCTTATGTTGACTCGCTACATCATTTTAAAATATCTATCATATCCTTATTTAAATTTTTTTTCACGACACATAGTATAAATATTTATTTTTCAAATACGCACTCCCAAACTTAGCCTTACTTCTTATAAACCCGGTTTCAAGTCCGCGTCCGCGGTCCGCCCCTCGGTCTTGCTGTCACTAGTTAGCCACCCACAGTTCCCCAAGAGAAGAGATATATATTCAGAAAGAAAAAGAGAAGGAAAGTAAATAAAAATAAAAAAGCTCAATCAATGCAGACTCCCGACGGAAACCTACACCCAAAACCAAGCCCCTTTCTGTTTTTCAATCCCTAATCTCTCTTCTCTCTCTGTTCTTCTTCCCTTTCCTCCACAATCTGCATCTACAGAGACCTCAAAATGCACGCGAAATCCGACTCGGAGGTGACGAGCATCGATGCGTCTACTCCGCCGAGGTCGCCTCGCCGGCCGCTCTACTACGTTCAAAGCCCCTCTCAGCACGATTTAGAGAAAATGTCGTATGGGTCGAGTCCACTGGGGTCTCCACAACACCATTATCATTGTTCTCCGATTCATCACTCCCGCGAATCGTCTACCAGTCGATTTTCCGCTTCGCTCAAACAACCTAGGAACCCAGCTGCATGGAAGAAGATAAATCAACATCTCGACGACGACGATGACGACGAGAACGATGATGGTATCGGCGACAGGGGCTCTGGCAACCTCGCGAGGTTCTATGTGGTGTGCTTTGTTTTCTCGTTTGCAGTTCTGTTTACGGTGTTCTCGTTGATCCTCTGGGGCGCCAGCAAGCCTTACAAACCCAAAATCTCCATTAAGGTTGGTCGTTGTTCACTCTTCCCTTCTCCACACTCAGCTGCTTCCCTCCTCCATTGTGTTGGGGGTTTTTCGGACCTCATTCTTGACTCGGTATCTACACGTGAATCGTTTTGCGTAACTCAACGTTTCCTAATCGAGTTAGAGCACTTTAGTTTAGGAAGGGCCGAAGGGATGAGATAAAGACTATTTTAATTAAGGGAATTAATCTAAGTAAGTAAATCGTGATTCGCGAGGTATTAATGTCGGATGCTCCCGGGGCTGAAGCGAATCAGCAATGCCTGATGGCGGACTCGCGGTCGTACGGTCAACGCCATCGACGTCCTTACTCCTTACTTAGGAATTAATGGGTAGCGTTTGGATGACCGTGAGCACGTATTTCTAGAAATACTCATAAAGTGAATTAAATTTAATTAAAGAAAGAATAAGAGGAGGCATCAATGACTGACTGACATCTTTGATTTTTGCGGTTGACTGTTTGGTATTCGGGCAGAATATTGCGTTCGAGCGCTTCAACATACAAGCTGGAATGGACGACTCGGGAGTCCCGACAGACATGCTGTCGCTTAATTCGACGGTCAAGATATGGTTCCGAAATCCGGCTACCTTCTTCGGCGTTCATGTCTCCTCCACGCCTCTCGACCTCTACTACTACCAGCTCAAAATCGCTTCTGGCCACGTGAGTAATTTTTCCTCTTATTTTACCCTTTTGTTTACTTGTTAGTTGTTACTAGTAACGATGGTAATAATCTCCTCCACCATTGAGAGAGCCGGGCGGGTTTGGTTCGAATTTTACTTTATCTATCGGATTGACCCGTCAGGGTGGGGGATCAACCGATCAGGGACCGTTGGACCATGTCCAAGTCGTACTCGGTACGGTACTCCTGTCTCACATCCACACTTCAAGCCGAAACCGACTCGACAAGGAAATTGGTGGGCCCCATCCGTCGAACCTAGTTTAAGAAATCTCATAAAATAGATTCCCGCGAACAGTTGGATAGGAATAGGGGGGGAATGATGGTGCACGGGAATGGAGTGTAGTATGGTATTCCGTATTCATCATCTAAATGAGTACATCTCTACTGGTAAGATTAGCCCAGTCCTGTCAGGCATAGGTGTTGTGTTATGATTGGCTAACTATAGCTTTTATTTGCTTCACTTTCCAAAATTTTAATCGCTGGATGGTGGAGGTGGGTAGGTTCGTGCGGTTTCTTTGCGTCCTGCGTGCCACCTCCCAACCCAACACCGTTAATCATTTATGAATAATAATAGACCCGGCCTGGCTGGCCCGCAAATTTCCGTGCCTGGGTAGCCGTACTTCTTTCAAGACCGGCCTGGATCCGCATCAAGCTGGGGCCTAGTCAATTAAGTTTTAGGCCCGGCTGATTCGTCCCAGTCAGGAAATGTATATACAATATATAGTCTTTTACCAAAAAAATATCTTATATTATTTATTTTGGTAATATTGTAGTATCCGATATGGTATAATGTTTTGTTAAGTATATATTTACATAATATATAGTATATATGGCATGTATATATGATATTATATATTATTATATACAATAACTTTTTAAATATGTTTTTCTGTAACTATTTGCATAAAATTCAGTTAAAATTTTAATTTTAATTATGATCAGCCCGGGATGCGGGCTCAGCCGGGTCCAGAAAAGTTTTAATACTGTTGATACCCTATAAAAATCTGGCCTGGGAGCGGCTTGACCCAGCACATGATCATCCCAAATTACTAGCATAGGCATTATGAGTTTGGACAGAGTTAGAGGTGTAAATCGGGCCATGCTGCTTTTGGCCCGGCATGAATTTGGACCAGCCCGGTACGACGGTTTGAGGGCCATGCCAGGTCTGGTACATTCATACGGCACGGCCCAGCATGGCCCATATATATTATTTATATATATTTATATAATATTATGTAAATTATAATTATATAATAATATATAGTATATAATTTATTAATAAAATAAATATTTTTTAAATTTTATTATACTAATTTGTTTAATTATTGTATATATAAACAATTTTAAACACAAAATTCATATAAAATTAAAATTTTAAATTTTTCATTATTTTTTTTAAATAAATTGCTTTTGCCCGGTGCACAGCCCGACTTAGTCCAAGGCTTGGGCCACAGGCCAGCCTGGCCCGTGGCACAACATGGGCCCGCACAGGCCTAGGCCGTGGGCCGTGCTGGGCTGACCCCTAAATTTTTCACCAGGAAGAATGGCACGACCCCTGACGGCCCGTGGGCCAATACGGCACAGCCCACTCTACACCTCTTGATGGAGTGGCAAGATAACGCCGGTTATATGTGGGTGTGGGTGTGGAGTGGAGTGGAGAACTGTTTTTATGATTAGTTATGTGTGATTTATTTCATTATCAATATTTTGTAACAGAATAGAAATGGTATATTAATAATTAAAATCAAATAAAACAGATGAACAAATTCTACCAGTCGAGGAAGAGCCAGAGGACGATAGTAGTGACGGTGGGCGGAAAGCAGGTACCGCTTTATGGGGGGGTGTCGGCACTAAGTGGTGGAATGGAAAACTACGAGCGGGTGACGGTGCCGTTGAACCTGACGTTCATGATGAGGTCAAGGGCATACGTTCTGGGAAGATTGGTGAAACCCAAGTTCTATAGAACCATTCGCTGTTCCGTCATCTTGAAAGGCAACAAACTCGGCAAACCCCAAAATTTGGATAATTCTTGTGTCTATCACTAACCCTTGTTTATTTGGAATGAAATGGATCCTTTCATTTATTAACCCACTTTAAGCTTTTTATCAGGAGGATTTTATATATAATAGATTACAAAATTCATCTCTCTCACTGAGTTGGTGAGGTTGCCCTCTAGTGAAAAACTAAAGTATAAAGGGTCCCAAAACTAGACTATGTGATTGGTTCGCATCTGCTTGCTAGTTGCTACTTCCCAATTAGATTTGTTCATGGGCCGGGTTCGGATTTGGCTTTTGTCAAAATTCTAATGAGCTCGACCCGAAGTCCGAGCCCGAGACAGTGTAAAATCGTGCCCAAAGCCCAGCCCGTAAACAGGTTTGTTCCTGGAGTGGATTATTCGAGTCCGGATCTCCTGCCCACAAACTGTCCATGTTTACCTATATAGACGTGTGCAAAAGATCCAGAGTCGGATTATTCTGATTCCTAATTCCTACTGTTTGGTTGGGTGAAATTGGATTTCCATTCTCATTACTGTCCAACTAATTCTAATTCCCATTTTAATTTATATCTGAACCAAACAGACTTTTGCTATAGACCATTTTGATTTTAATTCTAATTCCAACCGAGCCAAATGGACCTTAAATTTTAGCACCCCGCTTCATAAGATTCAGAATGCCATAGGTTTGTGAGATGCTTGAAGGGTTAGGCTGTATTTAGAATACTATGCCTGTATTATGTTGCAATTAGGCTGTGTTTGGTTTGAAGGAAAAGTTGGGACAAGGCCTTCCCTACTTTTTCCTTCCTTTTCCTTCAAACCAAACACAACCTTAGGACAACCCAGCCTTGCTTGCGTTTCTCGGTCTAGCGATGGTGCAATGGTGGGAAATGTGAGATTGGCTTCTATCAGAGCAAATCTGTGCCCACACCATTTTAACAGTCTTTTATAACCTTGTATTGAGAATATTTTCCGATAAAATAAATTATACAAGTACGGAGATGTTCTCAGTAAAAACTTAATTCACATCTCCGCCCCACAAGGGACCAATAAACGGCGGGGATGTGCTGTGGGGCGGCCCTTTGTTAGGTGGAGATGCGATCTTGTAAAAGCTGCCCGAATGGGCTTTGCCCCGACTGAAGCCGAACTCACAAGCTGGGGCCCAAGTTCGAGCTGGGTTGGCAATTGTCGCTGCAGCTTTAGGTGGAAACTGGAATAACGTGATCCTTGAATGATGCCACTATCAGTGCTGAACTTGGTCTTTCCCGGAACTCTCGCATTAATTCTGCTATTGGGCCGGTGATGATTGGTATTTTTTATTAGAAAACACATTTCCTGCGACCCCGATTCAGGACAAGCCCGAGACCCTCGGTAAGTTTTGAACACTCCAGTGGTTTAATCTGATACCGGTTTGACGAGATATTTTGTCTTTTTCACGTAGCGTGTTAAAAAATACCAAGACCTTATGGGTCTGAGTATTTGAATCTCTTGACCTTGACAATAAAAGTTACTTCATCAACAAAAATAAGTTTAGGACCAAAGATTCTCTTCTTGACCCTACATTCATCAAATCAATTTTGAGCAGAGAAACCAGCCCCTGGTTCCTGACAAACTGATAACAATGCTTAAAAAAACCAACCATACAGAAAGCAATTGCTGAAAGGTTGATTAGGGTGGTTCGCAAGTCAAGCGGTCAACATGCTCCTCTGATAACTCATGCGAAGTTATTCCCCTAAAACATGGGCGACTGTCTCTTAGGCTCAGTTTGGAAGGAGTATGTATATATAGAGTGTAAAACTATGTATTTTGTATGTGTTTGTATTGTACATATTTGTATTTATATTTCTTTTAAATTGAATATGAGGTGTTTGGAAACGATGCAAATGGAGTGTAAATTCCGGTTCAGAGTAAATTTGCATTCTGTTTCACTTTGCCTGTGTTTGGCAACATTGACAGATCAATGCATATTTATATTGATAATAAGATGTAAAAGTACATCAATAAAAAAGAAGTAAATTTGCATTCAAGTAGGTTTTTGATAAAAAAAATAAAAAGGCATATGCTTATTAGAATTTATTTTTGCATCCATTCAAGCTTAAAGTCTGTTTGGTAAGAAGGTAAATTTATCAATGCAAAACTAACCCAATTTTGCAATTTATTTGAACTGTTTTACACTTTACATATGTGCATTTACATTTATTTGTATCGTTTCCAAACGCAGCCTTAGGCTTGGTTTGGTAGGAGTGTAAATACAATTATATAGAGTGCAAAACCTTGTATTATGTATTATCTTGTATGTATTTGTATTTGTAATCTTTCTAAGTTTGGAAAGAGTATAATAACATATAAAATAATATAAAATATAAAGTTTTGCACTGTACATATTTGCATTTGTCATCTTTCTAGGCTCAGTTTGGAAGGAGTATAAATTTGTAGAGTATAAAACGTTGTATTCTGTATTATTTTGTATTTATTTATATTGTATATATTTTGTTATTTTTACTCTTTCCAAACTGAGTCTTAATATATACTCAACACACCATTAGAATTGCTGTAATGCCTTGGAGTGTTTTAGATCAACAGTTGAAAGAAGCAACTAGTCGATAAAGAGCATAACCTATAAGGCTTAGTTATTTTGAGATTCATTGGCAAATGACCCCAAACAGTATTTTTTAATGCATCAGATCATTCTGTTGAATATCAGCCTAGACAGCTAAAATAGAAACTTAGTATTACTTGCAGACTAGAGCTCCAAATCCAATTGACTAGCATGATTTTGAACTCTTTATAATACTAGTAATTAAGCACGTGCATTGCATGTGAGAAATTTTTCTTCATATTAATTACTTGGATTTTAGATATATTATATTTAAGACAGAAATTGAAAATTAACAAAGATAACAATATGATTAAAAATAAACTTAAATATTTGTTATTCAATTATGACATTATGGGTTTCTTGGAAAACTTGGATCATTGACCCACCATCTAGAAAAGAAAATAGTATTACTTTTGGATTAGTTTTAAATTAGGGAAAATTATATTTAGAGATAGTTGTTCATTTAAAATTATGCTACAAGTTGGTCCATAAACCAACATAACTTTAACAAACGGCTTTACATTTCAAATTATAAAAACCCTCGCCATGTCATTGGAGGCTTATGTGGTTATTGCTAAGACGGGACTCTTAATCCATGTTAGACACAACAAAAAAGTTATACTGAAATTGCCCTTTAATGTTCGGTGATTGGAAAATAAGAAAAAAGGGTTTTTAGTTTCTCTCTCTCTCTCACACACACGCACACACCGTCTCACTCACAGTCATATTTATCTGTTTAATGATTGTGTTTTGAAAATAAATAAAAATGGTTTTTGGTTTTTGTATTTACGTTTTTTATATCAATTTCTTTCATTCTCCCTCTTTACTTATTGTTCTCCCTCAATCTCTCTCATTCTCTTTCTTGGTCGATCTCTCCTCCCTTAATTTCTATCATTCTCCTTCATTTTCTCTCCCGCTCCCTCTTTCATTTGTTTTATTTTCTTACACATTTATATGGTATTAATCAAATCGTATAAAAGAACATGAGACCAACTTGGTATGGTTCAAAAATTTTTACACCAATTTGAGAAAAATTAACAAAAAAAAAAAACTCTTGGCTATGAAATTTACACTAACTGGAGAAAGATAGAGATTGAGGGAGAATGAGATATTGATCGAGAAGGAGAGTGAGGGAGAAGAATGAGAAAGATTGAGGGAGAACAATAGAGAGAGAGAGAGAGAGAGAGGGTTTTGATATGGTTTCAGACCGAAGCTGAGAAAGTGGGAGAGACAAAGAGAGTGGGAGATCGAGAGATGACTATGAGAGTGAGAGAGAAGGGAGGGAGATCAAGAGACAAAGGGAGTGGGAGAAAAACTAAAAGCCTATTTTCGGTATAGGTTTTTTGTTGTGTCCAATATTGACTAAAAGTCCCATGTTGGCAACAACCACATAAGACTTCGATGACAGCGTAGGTTTTTATAAAATGAAATGTAGAGTCGGTTGTCAGAGTTTTGTTGGTTTCTGGACCAACTTGCAACCTAATTTTAAATGTACAATCGACTTTGACTATAATTTTCCCTTTACATTATATAAAATATTTTTTACTTTTCACACTTAATTTTTGTTTGTCTATGGTATCATTTAACTCAAACCACTAACCCACCATCTAAAAATAAAAATTGTTTGATTTCTAGGTTGACATTAAATTTTGTATTACATTTTCATCATTGATAAAATTATTTCTTATGTATAAAACTTATTTTTGTTTAATATAATGAATGCACAATATTAGAAATGTACCCAATATTTTATTTTTTATAAATATATCACATTAGATATATGCCCAAAATTTTCTCTATCTTTTTTTTTTAGTTTTGTGTTTCTTTGTATTTTCTATTATTAAAAAATTTATTATTTGACTATGACATCATTTAATTTTTAGGTAGATTTTGAAAATGGCATTCCATTTTTATCATTAATAAAAATACTTCTTACATTTTATAGTTATTTATTTTAATTTCTTATTATTTAATTATGACATTATTTATTAATCCATTTTACCTCAAATGGTCGGATTGCTTGCCCACCACCAAGAGGGAAGAAAATAGTTTTGTTTTCAAATTACTTTTCAAAATATTTATTTTTATACTATTAAAATTAATATTGTGGATTTAATTACAAGAATTTAA